ATATCCCTACTTTATCAATATAGTTGTCAAGTTCTAGCAAATATTTTAAATCTGTAAACTTTCTCAAATTCCTCATTTTCTTTCCCTTTTTAATACCATCACTCAGGATCCTGTTGCTCCATTCCCATGGATAATAGCAGTTTCTATTTTCACTGGCTCTCTTCTTTCATTTGATCCTTTCCTTTCAATGTGATCATATATATTGCCTGCTAGTGTTTAACTTTCTGAGTACTACAAGGCTTCATTTTAGTAACTTTCACAGGATAAAGATATGAGTGTTAAATAGGCCTTAAACTTTACACAATCTGAATCCTTTTACTTCCTCTCTTACTCTCCAAGGTATAGTTCTCACTATTTAACACTGGTTGGTCTGGAACTTGCTAAGCTCCTTTTATAAAGTTGTCTTTTTAAATTTTTTTTTAAAAAAATTCATGTGTATGAATGTTTTGCCTACATGTATGTAAGCATACCATGTACATGCAATGACTGTGAAGGCCAGAAGAAGGCATCAGATACCTCTGGAACTGGAGTTATGGATGGCTGTTAGCTGCCATGTGGGTGCTGGGAACCAAACTTGGATCCACTGGAAGAGCAGCAAATACCCTTAACTGCTGAGTGATCTCTCCAGCCCCAGATGTAGTTCTTGATCTGCCTGTTTTCATTTAGTCACTTTACCAGATATAATTTATGATGCTAGGTATCATGACGTGATCTGAATATAGAAAAACAATAAACAACAATGTAGTACCAGATCACAACATGGTAGTGGTTACAGGGAAAAAGAATGAGATGTAAATATAAAAAATGTTCTCAGTATAGGAATTGAGCTAGCCATGGACTGAAGCTAGCCATGGACTGAAGGCTTCAATGAAGCCAAAGCTAGCCATGGACTGAAGGCTTCAATGAAGAGAAAACATCAGAATGAAATGATGATGTTTGAGTGACAGCTCTGTGGTAAACTATAAGGTGGATGAATCAGACAAAAGGAACAGAGCGCACAAGGATGTGAAGGTGTAGAGAATCTGATGTGTTCACAGAACCCTGAGTAGTTTGAAATGGTCAGAACCCAGGTTATTTGTTCAAGGATGAGAGTAGATGGAGAAGGGAAAGGCAGAGGCACAATCGGTCTACTAACGTAAACATGCAGAAAAGTCAGAGTGGGGCAAAGATGAAATGTTCATAAATGTAACTTTCCTTCTCATACATTCTATTTCTTGATGGAATATGAATTTTCGAATTAAAGATGAAAATAGACCAGATGGATTTGAAGATTTAAGGAGAAAGAGAAGTATTAAATCCCCTTTCAAGGACAGTTACAACCCATCAATAGAGGACAGCTCCTGGAAGCATCAATCTACTTATCTTTACCATGATCCAGTTCATTACACAACCCCTCCATTTGCTACCTCTGATATGAAAAATCTGACAATGTGCTCTAGGAGATAAATTTTTTTCAATATTTGTTATAAAATCATCCCATAGATTAATGAAAGTCTGTAGTACCAGGAATGTTAAATGGAAAAATTCCAGGCCCTTCCAGGAATTCAAATTTATTAGATCTGGGGTATAACTGTATAATGTGTACATGAGAGAACCAAGTGCTGTAAAGTTCCTTTAGGTGACTGAAAAAAATCTATCCTCCAAACGCACTTGAAAGATCCCCAACATAGAAGCCAGAAAGCTCTGCGACTTTGTGTCATTCTGATTGCCATCTCTCTGTGTCAGGCTTCTGAGAAACAGAAAAAAATCGGCAAAAGAGATGGAGACAGAGATGAGACACAAGTAGAGATAAATCTCTCCATATTACACATACCTATATGCATATACATCCACATGAGCAGAAATCTCTTGAGGATACAGATTATAGAATATGAGGTTGGCAAGTCTGAACTCCACAGAACAAATTGATAGACTGGAAAATTAGGCAGGATCTATGTTATAATTCAGAGGCAAAATTCCTTCTTCTCTAGAAACATTATTTTTTGTTTTGTTTTGTTTTCTTAAAGCCTTCATTTGATAGGATGAGGCTCATCCACATTATCAGAGGCAGTTTTCTTTGCTTAAAATCAATGATTATAACTGTTAACCTCGGTTCTGATAAATCTTCACAACAATATCAGGGTTGACTTGAACTGCTATGTGTCAGAACCTTCCCAAGCTTTATGCCTAACACTAAGCATCATGCTGTCTAGTTTTATTTGGGGCAATTCATGATTCACAGCTTGGTGCAAAGACTGAACCACCAGTCACACTTTGAGTACTGCATGTTATTTCTTCTTCCTAGACTGTCTGCCCAGACAGACAGAAATTGAGAAGGTTTTTTTTTTTGAGCTGGGGGGGGCTTGTGGCTGTTTGGGGGGGGGGAGGGCGAGGATTTCCCAAAGATCCTCCTCCTAGTCTGAAGCTTTCAACCACATTGGTTGCTAATGAAATACAGTGAAAATATCTAACTTGTATATTCATTGTAGCATGCTTTTCTAGAAGAAATTTCTTTAAATTACAGCAATAAGCAAACTAGTAAGATGAATGGACACTGCCCTCACCCACTTAAGAGCTTCATATTTCTGTATGTTCCTTCGACATCATAAAGCAATGATAATATAGGATCGTGGTCAAAGTTTATGATGGTCTTAAGCATAAAGAACTTCTAAAACATTTCTTTTCCTCGCCCCAATTGCTCACCTGACAACATCTTCACTCACTAGTCCTAACGTTTATCCTATGTATTGATTATGGGAGAGAACCAGATTCCAAGGGCAACTGGATATTATGGGAAAAAAGCTTCATAGTGTAGATATGGGAAAACAAATAAAATTCCAAACATAATTTTTAAGGAAAACCATTTTTATATTCTTCCTTTTCTTTTAAAAAATTATTACAATTTATTTATTTAGTGTGTGTGTGTATGTGTGTGTTTGTGTGTGCGTACCATGGTACACAAGTGGAGATTATAGGAACTTTACAGCACTTGGTTCTCTCCTTCATCCATGAAGGTCCTGAGGATCAAACTGAGGTCATCAGGCTTGGCAACAAGTGCCTTTACCCACTGAGTCATCTTGCCAGCCCTCTCCTTTTGCTATATACATGCCTAACTGGAAAGTTTGGGGGAATCAGGGGAAAGCAATATAGATATGAGAAGACTGTGTTTTGTGATAGACTTTTTTCATATTCGTGTCCTTTCTTTGCAGACCAGTTACAACCTCCCGCACATCTTTGCCACCATGGATGATCGCCCTTACTGTGCTTGGAGTGCTGGCAATCCTTGGAGTAACTATTGGTCTCTTGGTTCACTTTCTGGCAGTGGGTTGGTACATATTTTGCATTTATTTCATTTTGCACTATTTATTTTAATTTCTATGAGATATAGAGAAGCAATTGCAATCAACGAATTATCTCCATTTATAATGGCGTTATTGGCCCTGGGTCTTGTAAGAAAGCACTGTTAGAATTTGCCAAATGCTGTATTACAGAAATTCTTCCAATATTTACAGGTAAAATATTGAATTTCAATTCAGAAACATGAGTGACCAGATAACTGATGATAAGAGAAAAAACCTACCATGTGGTATTTTTTGTTATTTTATGAATAAGATACTAAATTTTTTGTGTGTGAAGAAGAGAAATGCACTAATATTGAAATTTCAACTTGTTTATTAATAACAAAGACAATGTAGAAATCCCTTCTACTTAGATTTTAAAATATTTCTATATATTTGAAAATATGATGAAACTGGAGGCATCTTTAAGGTCATGTGATTTAACTTCAATGATTGCATCACATTATAAAATAAAATAAATTCAGCATAATTATATTTAGTTTTCTCTTTCACTTTCAAGTATGTTAGTAACAATATTTTCTATGTTGTGAATGCTTTTGTCTTTAGTCTGGCTCATAGTCAAACATTCTACAGCTATTCTGTATACTTAGATGGTGCTTATGTTCTCCATCTTACTTTTTCCATGACTTTGCTATGCATTTGTGCTGCTATTTTGCCCCCAAAGCTACATGTATGCATGATTTAAAGAGTCAAATAAAGCTTCTACTGACAAATTCAGTTCCTATTCCCTAACTCCTACTTCCAAGTCTCTTTCAACTCTTTCGGTGGATTCTCGATATTGCCTTATCTCTATTCCTCAGTTATTGTTACTATTTATTCACTTTCTACTCTGGAAAAAGATTCCATATTCACTTATAGTCTGCCTACATAGTAGTCACCTTACGGGTTATCTTCTGGAGATCCTGGGGATTCCCTTAAATGATCTCTTAAATTTAATCTCTGGGTAACTGAACTACATATTTCTTTTACATTATTTTAATTATTAATTGCAATAGAATATATATTTTAAAGCTTTTCATTATTTAAATATTCCTTTATGCAATATCTTGATCTTACTTCTTATTTAAAAATCATAGAACATAATGGTATTTAACTTTTTTGCCTGAATAATCTCTTTCCTCCAAGATTTTCTCTCCATATTTGGCTGTATTTCCTATTCAATGATTTTTCTCAAATAGGTATTGGTCTTTTGGTGTCTTTTGATATTTATGATTGGGATCAGAGTGGTAGATGGAAGTTCTCTATATGGGGCTTGTTTTTTGACAATACCCAGTGAACTTTGAAATTATAAATCATATAATAAAGATAAGATATGATATATATATCAATTAGATTAATATCTTTGAAAATTTAGGAATGAGATGTAATGTACTAATTGTAGACCCTGGTTGAATCAGACAGACTGAGTTTTGATCATTGACTTTTCTTAGTAGGTAAATAACATTAGGCAGATTGCTTAATTACTAGGAGACTACATTTCTCCTAAAAAATTGGTATACTTCATAAGGTTTTACTGGTAACTTTAAAGATCTATATTCTGGCAATTGATTACTCTAAACAGAAACTAATGTAGTGTGTAGTCCTTTCTGTCTCAATCAAGATGTTACTCTTGGACCTGGGGAGAGGGCTCAGTAAGTAAAATCCTTGCTTCACATTTGTGAGGACTAGAGTTTGAACTCCCAGAAACCATGTAAAGCCAGATGCAATAGCACACATTTGTAATCATAGTGCTCGTACAGCAAAATGGGAGGTTGAGCTGGGAGCATCCTTTGAAGTTTGCAGGCCAAGTAGCTTGGCATATACAGCAGTGAACAACATGGCAAACCCTGTCTTGAACAAGGTGGAAGGTGAAGACTGACACCAGGTTGTCCTCTGACTTTCACATGTGCTGTGGCATTCAGGCCCTTACTCAAGCACATGAGCATGAATATACACACACCAAAAAGATGTTAGATGTTACATTTATTTATTTATTTATTTATTTATTTATTTATTATTGTTTTTAATTTTCTTTGTGACCTTTTAAAGAGAGACAGAGACAGAGAATATTTCTTTTTTTTTTTCATATATCCACACCCTGCAATACCTAGGTTATCTACTCAACTGTACCAGGAAAATTTACATGGAGCTAATAATGTCTAATGAGCACAATACATACTGGTTTGTACTATTATGCAATCTATATCTTCATTTGAAGTCCAATTAATTTAAATAATTATAACTTTTGGATCTATTTTATCTCACAGAAAATAAGATCTACTACTATCAAGGTAGCTTTAAAGTGCTGAATATTCCATATAATAGAAATTATGAAAGGGAGACATCACCAGAAAATAACTATCTTAGTAAAATTCTTGAAACCAAAGTAAGTTAGTATTTTCCTATATTTAACTACTTGAAATTTAAACATACTAATGAAATATAAGGTTTGACTCTATGTTCTTTCTTAACAGATGGTTGATGCATTTCAAAGTTCTAACATGTACAGACAATACATCAACTCTCAGGTTATCACATTGGAGTAAGTAACTATCATTAATCATCAGAAAAAGAGATAAAGTTGCCACACATACCATTATGTTTCAAGTTCTATAGGAGAAAAGAGTCTAGAGTCTTCTACTGTAGTTGTTAGCCAATAATTATTAACCTCCAATATTATCATTTACATCAGCATTTATTCAGTATAAAACCAAAGCAAAAACTGAGCTTATGCTGTTGAGGTCATTAGGTCTAGGGGAATGTACTAATCCTCAAATGGTATTTGACTTGTCCTTCTCATTCCTAAGAATTTATGTCCATAAAACATTAGATGGTCCTTTGGTCCAATGCTTGATTATCTACTGTTTTTCATTTATGAACTGAAGACATATAGACTGTTTTTTCCTGTTTTTCTACTTGCAAGTCAACTAAGCACCTTTTGGCACTGTTCCAAGGGCTTTTCTTAGATACAAGGTAGGAAAGAAACATATGTACAGCAGGATTTGATACCAACAGTAACCTCTCATCCACCATTAGAAAAATAAAATGCTGTATTCCCTGCATATGGGTGTAGAACAGCAAAGTCTCACAGAGAATAGAATAGAAGCTGTAAACATGAACCCAGATTTTACCACTTAGTAGATGGTGGGCCTTAGGAGAGTCATTCACCACTTTAGTCTATCTCTGTGTCTTAGGAAATATCAGTGACTATACCTTTCCTGTCTTGTTCATAGACATACTTGGAGTCAAAAGGATAATGTGTATAGAAATATTTTCAAATAAATATATTTCAAATGAAGGTGATCATTGTTTTTACTTTGACCAATTTCACTAATGTCTCCCTTTCTTCCCCAGTTCCTGGACACATGTGACTCCTGGAATTGTAAAATGGATTAAGATTCTAACTAGCATTAACTTGAGAGATTAGTTTTACTACTGGATAGTAAACTAAAATCGAAGGAATCATGTACCTCTTAGAGGTCACTGCCCACAATGTATGTGTGTGTGTGCATGCATGCATGCATGTATATGCACATGTGTGTATGTGCGTGTGTGTTGTGTGTGTGTGTATGTGTGTGTATGGAGGGCTTCTGCTTTGTTTTCCCAATAACTTCAGGCACCTATCTGTAGGTAGCAAGAATCTGGACAAAGTGACAAAGGCCATAGGACAAGGTGCTTCCTTTTGCATGAACTGCTACAAAAATCAAACTCACGTGATCTGATTGCTTCCTAGGAACCATTATTGATACTGATATTGATATTGATATGCCAAAATGTTGAGGATCCTTAGAGAGAACGAAAGCATAATAATGATGCTCTAGGCACTGCCCTCAGGGATCCTTCACAAGTTCACTGATCAGTCTTCCAGCTGTCCACCCCTTTCCAAATTCCAAATAAATCTTCCCTGAACACCAGAGTCAAATGTGGTGTTTTATACTTCAGGGGCAGTTTCACAAATTTTCTCAGCAATGCTATGTAACGGTTAGCTTTAGTGGTACCTCTTCTCCACCTGTCTCCCAGACACTTTAGTCACTAGGTGATTAGACACAGGGTGACAGAACACATAATGGAAATAGCCCAATGAATCAATAATCATTTGCACTGATGATAATATCTAATTTATTACTGAGCACATTACATAATCTCTCAGATTATGGGACAAGAGTCAACTTGTCTTTGCACATAAAATCAGATGATACTTTTGCTGCAGGGTTGTGGAGACACAAAACATGTGCTATTAAATGTATCAACAAAGTGCCTGTAGCATACAGATAACTGATAAGCACTAATTAATATCATTGTCATCTGGTTATTATGCAGTATAACCCCCTCTTCTCCACCTGCTGAAAATTTCCATTTGATGATAAAATAGAACTAAAAATACTTTAATGCAGTGCATATATCAACACTACCACAAAACATTCTCTCATCCTTTATAAAAATATTACTTATTGGGGCTGGAGAGATGGCTCAGCAGTTAAGAGCACTGACTGCTCTTGTAGAGGACCCAGGTTGGATTCCCAGCACCCACATGGCAGCTACAAACCGTACTTAACTCCAGTTCCAGGGGAATCTGAAGCCCTGTTCTGACCACCACAGCATTGCATGACACAGGTGCACTCACATACATGCAAGCAATACACTCACACACATAAAATAAAAATAAATAAAATAAATATCATGTATCATTCCTCTGAGTACTTAAGATAAATGTCTTACTTCTTCCTCATTTGTTACAGTCCTTTTCATACACACCTTATCGCTCATAAAAGTCTGGAAATTCCTAGATGGTAGGAACTGTATCTTAGTCATCACCCAATGGAACGTGGCATAGTTGCAGATCTGCAGCAGTTGCTCAGTAAATGACTGATGAATGCAGAGATATGTTTCAGTTCTTAGGTGATTGCCTTTCCTTGGTATCTCAGGCTTTTTCTAATTTTTAAAAGATTTATGGAATTTTATGTCATCCAAATTGGGTAACACAGCTGCATAACATTCTGCTGCCATAGAGGTACATGCAGATGGATGATTGTAAGTTTAACCTAAAGCGATGCTAATTTACAAACCCCCCAAAGGGCAAAGGTCATCAAGGTATGAAAGATTAGAGAAGGCAGAAGGAAATGCTGTTTTAGTAATGTATGAAAACTTTGTGTTGTTTCCAGTCCCGATAACAACAGCATCACAGTACACATATGGCTGGTATTCAAGGATTCCAGGTCAAGGAAGGAAAACACAAGAAGAAGAATCGAAAGCATCTTAAGTCAGATGCTGAGGAACCATACAGGATCCTTCACTACAGATCCCAATTCTCTTAAGCTCATGGGTAAGCTTACCTATGGGACCATAGCAGTGCTGTTATAGTATTTTGTCTCAGTCATATGTCACAAACACCAAGCATCTTCAACATGATTTTAAATGAATGTCATCTTAGATCAGAACAATCTCTAGTTTTCATTATTAAAATATATTCAAGTTGTAATAATGCTCCAAGTTATAATTGCTTTGAACAATATTAATACTTGGAGAAAACCTTGTAAGTAATGGCGTGCTGTTTGCTTGATCTGTAAAATTAGCATTGGATTCACCATTCTGATGCAGTCATCTTTTAAAAGTTATTTTTGTATATTGACAGGAGTCAGAGTCACTGCTCTTTTTTCCAAGAGATGTATACCAACTTTTCACTTAGGATGATGTGTAGTGTAATTCAATTAACAAGTTAACAGAATGTAGTCTTTCATATGGATTATATGGATGGTCCTTCCATATAACATGTTCACATGCAGCAGAAAAAAATTCCAATAAGCCAATATTTGTTGGTTTCCATTGACACTTTATCCTGGATGTCAGTGGTTGCAGCAAATTTTTGTTCGGTGGAAGCTGCTATTTTCCTCATTTCCCCAGAATCATCTAAGTACTAAATTTACTATCAATTTTTGTTCTATTTCAGAAATAAGTAAGGTTGATGCTGAAAATATTATCAACAACCGTAAGTTCAAATCCCTTTTAAATAAAATATGAGATAAACTAAAACAGATTGTTGCTCATAACAGGGTGTAGCAGTGCTTTACCTATATTAATAAATTATTCAGTCTTTATAGTCTTTATAAATCTTTATATATATATTTATAATCTTCATAAATATTTATATAAATTTTAATCTATATTAATCTATATAGGTATAATCTTATCTCCAGAGAGAGGTGTGATTGCAATTCCATTGAAACACAAAAAAGTGCAAAAATTGTCCAGCTTGTAAATCACAGGACCAAAATCCAAATTCAGGGAGTCTAGTGGCAGAGAGTATGACTTAACTATGATTCTGCCTTCTGCAACTTACATATTCTCCAAAGGCTTGGCTTTGGTATCTTCAAGTTACTATGGTATGTTTCACGGATGCTGCTGGTTCCTGTATGGATTGTTTTCTATTTCTATCAGTACAAGATAACAATATCATATATAACTATAAAAGGGAAACTAACAACTCATCTCACTCTCTGCATTATCATTAAATAAATCTCTCTGTTCTCAATGGACCAAAGTTAATCCTTTTTGATAGGCTGTGGGAGACGACCAAGGATGTCAGCAACCTACGATAGAGTCAAAGGAGGTTCCACTGCTCAGAAAGGAGAATGGCCTTGGCAGGCAAGTCTCAGAGTGAATGGCAGACACCACTGTGGGGCATCACTGATCAGTGAAAGATTCCTGGTAACTGCAGCTCACTGCTTTCAAAAGTAAGTCTATCTTGCTCTCCAAAGTTAGGGAAATCTAAGGTCCCAGGGCAGACTTCGTGTTCCTGCTTGATTCTTAGTCAAACTTTCTGTTATTCTCAAGGGTGTTCTGTACAGATTATCGATAAGCCTACCTAAGCCTTTCCTACTTCACCAGTAAAAATGGGATGAGCCTTTAATTTTTTATTGATACTGTCATTTATTTTTGTTACTTTTTTCTTTTTTAACTTTAAAAAAATTATTAAGAATTTCATACATGCTTTAAGGTGTTTTGATCAAATCCACGCCTCCTCCCTCCCTCCAACTCTTCCCATACCTCCCCATCACTTTTTCCTGAACAACTTAATGTACTCTTTCTTTCTTTCTTTCTTTCTTTTTTAAATAGGGCTTTTTGCCACTCTAACTTGTTACTTTTTTCTTACATAAACCTTATTTCCCATCACTTTATACCCAGGTCCTAAACACCTCAAAGCTGCTAAAATACAACATCCCATTTACAGCCTCCCTCCATCTCTTCACATGTCTGAGTTTTGGTAAATAAAACTCAGTCTTATCTAAAATGCTGTTTTCTTTAAAAATAACATCTTCTTTCTCTTAAGCATACAATTTTACAGTCTATGTGTATTAATTTCACGAATTACATGCATAAGTATTAACCAATTTTTATAACTGCCTATGTGTATGTGCATCTTTAATTAAATTTAAGTCTCTTTAAGGAATGGGCTATTTAATCTTAATTTCTATATCCCAAGAGCCTTATGATAGGAAAGGATTGAAGCAAGATTTTTTTTAATTTTTATTTTATGTGTATATGTGTATTGCCTGCATGTAGGCGAGTGCAGCCATGTCATGCAATGCCCACAGAGGTCAGAAGAGGCTGTCAGATCCCCTGGAACTGGGGTTATGGACAATTGTTAGCTGCCGTGTGGGTGTTGGGATTCAAACCTGGGTCTTCTGCAAGAACAACCAGTGTTCTTAACTGCTGAGCCATCTCTCCAGCCCTGAAACAAGACGTTTATAAAATGAATTTTAAAAATCAGCTTGTATCATTGCCATGGATTATAGAGCAAGAAAATATTGATATAATAGAAGCATACAGTCGATGTAGAATTTCTACTACTTGCATGACAATGTACTGTTTCCATTGTTTGCATAATAAATGCAAAATGCATCATTCTTGTTTCTTTAGAACAGACAACCTCCAAAACTTAACTATTAGCTTTGGCACTAAAGTAACTCCACCCTACATGCAACATAACATTCAACAAGTTATCATTCATGAGGACTACATCAAGGGGGAGCACCATGATGATATTGCGGTTATTCTGCTCACTGAAAACGTTTTATTCAAGAATGATGTACATCGTGTTTGTCTTCCTGAAACCACACAGATTTTTCCACCAGGGGAAGGAGTTGTTGTTACAGGATGGGGAGCACTTTCACATAGTGGTAAGTTTTATTAGTTACTTCCCTGTTGCTATGGTCAAACACCATGACCAAGGCCACTTGTAGAAGGAAGAATTTATTTAGCTTATGACTCTGGAAGTATGAGTCCATTATGGTGGAAAGGCATAGCAGCACTGGCAGCCAGAGCAGAAAGCTGAATGCTCACCTCTTCAGGCAGGCACAGGAAGCAGAGGGAACAAAACTGGAAGTGGGCAAGGCTATCTACTCTCAAAGTCCACCCCTAGTGACATGCTTTCTTTAGCAAAGTCACACCTCCAAAATCTCTATAAACAGCACCATGAACTGGGGCCACCTATTCAAATATGTGGAACCTATGGGGACATTCCTCATTCAAACAAGCACATAAGGCTAACAACAACACATAGGGTATGGTACAAAACCGACATGAAAATTAAACCATTAGCATGCAGGAAGTGAGGTACCATTTTACCTTTGGGTGACCAGTATGTCCAGATCTCTCAGGTAATGCTGCATATAGAGTTATGACTTTACAAATTGTTTTGGTTTGGAATGTTCAAAGGGGGCCAATTTGAGTGTAGAAACCCTCTGGTCTAGAGAACCTAATTAAGAAGTTTCTGGACTAAGAATGTAAGAAGGAAAGAACATTGGGCAACGTTTGAAAGGTGTTTCTAATCAATATTTTGAACATTAATCTTTCATTTGGTTAAAAGAGAGAAGAGTGGGCTTTTTCATCCTAAGAAGAGGCAACAGTAAAATATAGGTCTTAAGTACAGAAGACCAGAGCAAGTTTTCCATTCTGTTCGGGCTCTGGGCAGCTCTGTAGTTGATAATGTTTACTTCCTTTAGGGGAATCCCCACTGTTACTTCAGAAAGCATCTGTGAAAATTATTGACACAAATATTTGCAATGCTAAAGAAGCTTACAATGGCAGGATACTGGACACAATGCTCTGTGCTGGTTACATGGAAGGAAATATTGATGCCTGCCAGGTAAGTCTGGACATTATTCATAAAGGCCACATAGTATTTTACACCTAGTATATACTTGCCATCATGATGCAGCCCATTCTATTTTTTAATTTGCATTTTGACAGTCCTGTCCGTGGTGCTTTAGAGTGATCTTTTCCTATAGTATAATATAGAACTTTTCCTCAAGTATTTGATAAACACATGTCAGATTTGCTCTGAGTTGAGCACTGCCCCAAAGTCTTTTACAAATATTAATTCATTTAATCTCTACTACAGTTATATGATAAAAGTGCCATTATTATCATTTCACAGACAAACTGAGGTGGAGGATCATTAAGTATCTTGCATATGGTGGCATGGCTAGGAAGTGGCAGAACTGGGCCACAGTGCCAGTCTATCTGGAATCACACTGCACACACGACACCATATGTTAGTAAGGGATTAGTCTGAGAAATTTCAGTTATTTTCAACCCATTCTCAAATTCTTATCTTCTAATCCTCCTTGCACCTGGAGTTCTGGCTACTTTTCTCAAAAATAAACTCTGAATTTCAAGCATACTCACATTTCCTAAACACTTTCTCAAGAATTAGTTTGTAACTAACCACATTTTCAAGTTCACATACATACCAAGGAATCCGAGGAAATGCATTTTCGTCAGTCTCAGTTGAGGTTAAGGAAGTATAGACATTCATATCAAACAACTTCCCAAGGTCTCTATGAAGCATCAACATCCACAAACTTAATCTGAAATATCACTGCCTATAGCTAAAGTATTTGCAAGAATATTGTCATAATGATAATGTTCTTTGTTTCATTTAGGGTGACTCTGGAGGACCATTAGTTCATCCCAATTCTCAAGGTATTTGGTACCTTGTTGGAATAGTGAGCTGGGGACATGAATGTGGCAAAATCAATAAGCCAGGGGTCTATACAAGAGTGACTGCCTACCGCAACTGGATTGCCTCCAAGACTGGTGTCTAAAAACAAAGGCATCTTCTAGCAATGAATGCTGCTCATCGTTGTCTAGTGTTCCAAGTGTTAACACGCTTTTTTTTCCCCTCCTTTTTTCCACTTTCGTGTAGGTGTTATACATGTGTGTATTCATCTTTGCAAGGTGTGTGGATGTGCATGCGTGTGGGTGAACTTGTGCGTGGACACCCAAGTTAATGTTGGGAATCATTCTCAAGAGTTCTTCTACCTTATTCAATGAGGCAGGGTCGCTCAAACAAACTCAGAGTTCAACACTTATGCCTAATCTTGCTAGCCAGTCTGCTCTGGGGGCCCCCTGTCTCAGCCTTCTGGGGCTGGAATTACAAGCAGTCCTTCACACCTATCAGGCATTTCAGTGCATTCTGGGGATCCAAATACTGGCCTTCATGCTTTTGTGTCAAGTGCTTCAAAACTGAGCCATCCACCCAGTCACTAACATGTTTTTTAAACGTGTGTTTTGAAAGAATTATGGTCCTAAGGGAATATTTATGAACTTCTAAGCAGATTCAACAAGACAAAAGAAATCTCAGGTTTCTTTGTACAGGAAGGCCTAAGCCATGGAGGTGTTTGCTCAAAAAATATTGTTATAATACTATTTGTGTCCTAGTCCATTAATTCACATCATGAATATCTTACCACAGCATAAGCTTCTTGATTTTTGTCATGCAAACTTTGTAGAATTGTAGAAGCATGTCTTGCCAATGGCAATTTACCAGGCAACAAGGTTAGAACCAGGGCCTGACCAGGACTGAGTTGGATCTGCTAGATCTGCTTTCTTGTCAGAGCTTTTGTGAAAGGTGGATAGTTCTGACCTAACCTAGTCTGAAATGAGGTATTGAGTTGCAACTCCTCATTTTTACTGAGGAAGGCGATCGTTGCTCCTGTAATCATTGTAAAAGAATTTTTCACCACCAGCAAAAGCAGCCAAACAGCACACTTTAAATTACACAAAAAATTCAGTAATTTTTCACTGTTGGTACAGATTTCTGTGGAAATTCGTTATGTGTAATATATTTTTAAAGCAATATGAATCCATAAAAATGTATTAAAAATTTAAAGGAAGATTTTTTTTTCCAATAACAGGATTTTCTTTTGTTTTCTTAATAGTTTACAGGTAGCATCTTCTTTCCTTCTGAGAGGTAGAGAGGTGGGAAGGGAACATATTCCTATTCACAGTTGGAGATGAGTATAGCCAACCCAGATGGAAGTTCTCCAGCCTGTGGAGCTTGGTCATGGGGTCCCTGATCTTCCAGATGAGTTCAGCTTCTGATCTAAGAAGTAGTTCTGCAAGAGCCACAGAAGTAGGAGTCAAAAAGTTTAGAGACCAGGACATACAGATACCAAGACCTGATTCAGGCTCATCTCCAGAGCCACTTATGCCTGGAGGATGACTGGTATGCCTGGTCATGGGTCTGGTTTGTCATTTTCATCAGATGCCAGGCATGCTAGCACTTCTTTGCCAATTCAATAAAATGTCCCATTCTTTCCAGTACCCAACCTTCCTAGTGGAAATGGAAGGCTGAGGGAGATCAGTGAGGGAGGCCAGCAGGTGACTTTGATGAACTGTTACAATCTGACATTTTACTGCTACTTAGCAACAAAGTCAACCACAGAAAATGGCATTGGTGAGTCTTGGAAGCTGAATCACAGGAAGACTGAGATGTTCCAGAAATGGGGTTGGGGAAGGAAGTTGTGTGGGTAAGAGGCTGGAGAGACAGATTTGCATGCTATATCTATAGGTAGATGCTTTATAAAGGAGAACTACTAATTATTGGCCAGGTAGGCCTACAGTTTCTAGAAATGAAGACTGCATCTTAATTTATGAGTCACAAGTCTCTACAAACACCAGAACCATTTCAATCTATAATATTAATTTTATTTATTTAATTATTTATTTATATTTTTTCCAAGACAGTGTCTCCCTGTAACCCCAACTGGCCTGAAACTCATTATGTAGACCAGGCTGGCCTTGATCTCACAGTGATCTGCCTCCAAGTGCTGAGATTAAAGGCATGTGGTACCACAGCCAATTTATAATGTTCATCTTAAACAATAAAAATTTAATTAGTATTTTAAAAATATTGATTTATCAGCTTCATGAGTCCATATAAGATTTTTAAAATGTTATTTAAATTTCGATGACTTAGATTGAATTTCTAAGAGAAATATACATATATATATATGCATTTATATATAATTTCATTTTTGCAGTAATGACTAAGCAAATACTTTTCTTTTGAGCTTGTCTATATTCTCATCCCTATAAGAGAAAATCTTTTATTGAAATTTCTCCTCCCTGAAATACTTATCTTGATAGTTAATACACTTTATCATAATGAGCATTACATCATATTATTCATCATTATCATAGTAGTATATAAAACAATAATGCTTCATAGTCATTGAATTCTGCAAAGTGTCAAACAATTCTAATGACCCCATCCCAATTAATGCTCTGTTCATTCTACCAAGCAAGCCTGTTAGTAGCCTAACCTTACAAATGAAGAAGCTGAAAGATAAAAGAGTTAACTACCTTCTCGAAAAGTGCAAAACAAGTCCACCCTATCTACAGACTTGCAGCAGTCATAGCAGTCCACCACATGGAAGCCACTCTGAGAACACTTCACATTTTCGGTGGGATTATTTTCCTTTGTCGATATGGTTTTGTTCTTGTTTGCTTAGTTGATTGTTTGAAGTGTGAAAACTCCTTATACCTCTGTGTAACACCTAGCACTAGCAAGAAATCCAAATTGGGAAAAGACATCACTTTCCCAAAACACACTTGTATTTGTAGAGCCGTTTATCGCTTTCACCTGAGCCCATGTAGAAAAGCCCCTCAATGATAATCCGGCAAATTTAGCTCCTATTGACCCTTTTTTCAATGTGCAGCATTCATGAAATTTTCTAAGTAGCTCCAGATACTTCTTTTGGGATAGCAGTGTGCATAAGACTAGTCTTCAGTGTCCTGAGCCAAGTTCAGTGTCCTGAACTTTCTTTCAGAAGAAAGTTCAGTGATCTCACAGTCTTTGTGATAACTTTCTAGGGGGAAAAAACTATGTAAAGCCAATGTAACTATTCATAAAACCAGGAAGCGTTATGCTGTCTGTTGAGCCTCTGAAATTTACAGTGACATTTTCCCATTTAAAAACTACAAAGTAATTTTTCCCTTTTTGTGATCATCCTCTATTTTCCTATTGCTCCCAGACTCAAATTTAGAGACACCCAGCGTGGTGGCGCAGGACTTTAATGCCAGCCCTCGGGAGGTAGAAGCAGGCCATCTCTGTGAGATTGAGGCCACCTTGGTCCACATCATGGCTTCCAGGGGGGCTAAGACTAGGGAAACCCTTTCAAAAAGCAATTAACAACCCCACCTAAAAACACAGTCAGAGAGTGTACAGGAGATATTATGAATATCTGGAGAAACAAGACTTAAATTTTAATCATAGAACTCACCCAAGATAGCTGTACCCAAATGATTTCCTATCCTAGGAAAAAAGTGATGCCATGAATAATCATTTCCTTTTCTTTCTTTTTTTTTGAACTATCTGATGATTATCAATTTCAAAAGATTTAAAAATAAACAAATCCCATAACAATTAATATTAAGTATAATTGCAGCACTGTGAACATATGTTCTCTTCAAAACTCATGCTGAAATTTGATTGACTGTAAGAGTATTAGGACATGTTCAGAGGTGCACGGTCATGAGGGTTTTGCCCAGATGAATGGATTAACGCTGCTGTCATAAGAGCATTTTTATAAAATGGTGAGTTAAGCATGTTCTCTCTCCTCTCTCAAAATGTAGCTCTCACTTACAGGCTAGGGTCCACCGCACCTGGATCAGCAGTTCAGGCTGCTTTCACTTTGAGGCTCTTCCTGTGAACATGTGACCCCAATCTCTATGACAGAGAAAAAGACTTGTGATAAACCATTAAAAAGCCAAGATTACCTCTCCCAATGTCTTCTGCCCACCTGCCAGGCTGCATCAAAAAATCCCTTTTAACTTAATCAGGCTGAGAAATGTCACAGGGCATATAGATATTTGAAAAGCCAAATTTCTTGGGTCTAACCTAGTTCCCTAAAACAAACCCCTTGCACTAATTTCTACTGTTGGAAAGAACACAGTTTTCACGGAGTAAACAGTAGAGAGCACAGAGAGTCAACCGGAATGATCATATCCGAAGATTTAGTGCATTTCTAGAACAAAAAGGAAGAGAAGTCTGAAGTTCTCTGATAAGAGATTTCTTTATGGCAGTAGTGTTAGAAAGCTGTGTTTTTAAATAAAGTGATAAGAAAAGGGACAATGAAAGACATGCTACATTGAAGAACATGTCTTTAGAATTGCCACTATTTTAAGAGAAAAGAGTATACAAAATTCTATATAGCATGCATCTTCTGTATAAAAATGCAGATTAAAAGGAAACACAGGACAACAGAGTTAATTTTTTTATGGATGATTTTTGTTTTCTCCAGTCTGTCATATTTTCCATAATGGGAATTGTTACTTTATAAAGAAAGCTTTGTTTTGCAATGACATAAATGTAAGTAAGTCATTTTTATAAGCCACAGATCATTAGAGACATTCATGAATATGATCAACACATTTTCTCCACCCTAACATGTGGGTTGAATCAAAATCTAAAACAGGTTTGAAACATCATTGAATCTTGGAAAAACTTGGTTTCTTAGCAAAAAAGAACTGAAAGACTGTAATAACACTTCTCTAAAAACTTTAGTGCATGATAGATTTGTTATTTGTTTTTGTTTTCCACAAATGTGTTAGTGAAATTGATATTGAGGTTTTACAAACTGGATTTTATTTTGAATTTTAAAAATTAGTGATATTTAAGTAAGCATTATTTTGAAATTTCTATATATACATCCTTACATTTATTTAAAGAGTGATTTTTTTTTCTTTTTTCTAATTTTTATTGAGCTTTTGTATATTTCATACAACAGGTCTTAATCAAATTTAGACACCATCTCCCATC